ACTGCATGAGCACTTCCATTATTTTTTTCTGATTAAAGAGGAGGCACAAAAGTTGGGAAGGGACTGGCTAGTTATGGGGAATGCCAGTGGGGAAGAGTGGCACCTCTGGGTTCTGTCACAGTGTGCAGCTTTGGGTAACTTGATAAAGTGTCTGGGATCACTTTTTTGAGCTTGATTTAATTTTTAACAAAATGTCAGAACACCAAAATTCCCGCTTCAATTCACAACATTCAGAAGGGTCAGTTTTTCCACTGTGAAATGGGAATTGTTGGAAAGGATGACCCACTCACACTTTACCCCTTCTCTGAAAGGTTAATAGCCTACCTGGCCATGAAGGGCAATTTCCTTTGTACTTGCAGCAGGAATCTGATCTCTGTTGGGGTTTCTGGGAATATCAGTGATGCAAATAATGCCCCCCTCCAGCATCAATCTGAGTGCCATTTGCCAAGTTGTGACTGCCTGGTGCCAAGACTGGCCTTGGCCTTTCTGATGGATGAGGCTCTTTCTCTGGGCTGCATTTGTGTGGTTCCAAAGCCTTCACAGGGAATTTAGAGATTATGTCCCCAGGATGTTGTGCTTTGGAAAACAGGCATAGGGATTGGCACGTGTTAGCTCAGCTGCAGTTTTACTGGCAGTGTGGGACATGAAATAACACAAAGTTTTCATTTGGCCATAGAAATGACTAAATAGAAATACTTTACCACTCAGGGAGTGTTACATTCTTGTCATGTCTCAGCATTTTCAGATATAACAGATGAAACAAATTAAATTATGCAAGCACTAAAAGAATGCATTGTTAGCCCCATCTTTAACTTGCCTGCAAATAAATAAACAAACACAAATAACTTATTTTGAAGGTACTGTAAGTGGAATTTTGCCTTGTGCTGGTCCATGGGACATACATTCATGTGTGTGCATCTGTAAGTGACCCATAAGCTGTTCCTGCTGCACGTGTTGCCTGCTGGGTCTCACAGTGTAGGAGAAAGCCTATGACTGCACATCCCTTATTTGCATTCCAGTCATATACAGCTTTGGCAATTTGTTTATGCAGTTGGATGTATGCAATTATCAATAACAGAGCCCACAATAAGTCCCAATTAATGTTGCCTCAGGAATCTTCCTTTATGTTGTGCTGGTTTCTGTAGATTTAAACACTCAGCATTAATGATGCATTAATGTTGTTTTCTCTTGTGTTTTGGGGGGGTTTTGTTGTTTTTTTTTTGTTTGTTTGTTTGTTTTTGTTTTTTTTTTTTTTAATTCAATGCTGTTTTTGCAGTATATAATCTCCCATTCATTTTGTTCTCTTTGCTCAGCAGGGACACTTTTTCCACTGACTCTTTATGAGACTTCTTCATGAGTACGAAAGCCATTTATCTTTATTAGTTGTATATTTTGCTCATCACCTCTCTTGCATTTATGAATTAAATATTTATTGATTTTTTTCCACAAAGAAGAATGCCCCACTGCTCAGTAAGAACAATTACCAGCAGCTGTGCACAAAGAACCGTAAGCAAAGCAAACCTTCATTACTTCTGCATGCACTTCCATGCCAGAAGTGACAGGAACTGAATCTGTCTTTTAATGGAGATCCTTGTAGGGCTGGGTATTTTCTTTCCAGGAGTCTGTATAATGGGCTGTGAAAGAAGAGATTGCATCTGTTTGTTTTGTTTCTTTTCTTTTTTTTTTTTGCTTTATGATACACAAGCAAAAATGAAGGAATTTTTCATCTCTTCCCCAATTTTTGCTTGTAATCTCTTCAAACTGATAGGTATTCATCCTGATAGCATATGAAACCATTATAACTATAACTGAAAGTGATTAGCTTACTCTCAGTTTCTCATTAATTAATTTTAAGGCTCAATGGATCAGTGTGATCAGCTGCCAGATTTTGCTGCATGAAGCCTACAGCCCTGACTGGATCTTGCTGCAGGAAGGTGTGCAACCCTGTGCTGGAAATGTGTGTTCGTGCAGCATACAGGACAAATCCCCATCACCTCTGAAAACAGAGAGATTGTTTTCAACCTAAATAATGTTCTTTCAAACTGCAGCTAAGGAATTTGATGAGTCTCTATCTAAAGCATGGAAACGCCCTGTCAAAGAAAGCAGTCACAGAAAATTACTTTGAAATTGTTTCCTCTCCCCAGCAATATCCTGTATTGTTTGAAGTTATGTCCCATGAGCAGAAGACCTGGTGGACCTTAGGAAGGCTCTGCCTGTGCTCTCTTTCCCTGGCTGCCTGGCCATGTTCCTCAAGTGTCCAGGTGGGGGCCATCCAGACAAATGGCATTGCTGACCCACTGGCCAGTTGTGCCCAGTCTTGGCCACGTGCTTTTCCCTCTGACCTGTAATTCTCCCTAACTGCTATGTCTCATCAGTCATGTGGAAGTTCAATTGTTTTGAAACTTATACCTCTGAGACTCCTTTGAATTCGGCTGAAATTGGCTGAGAGAGAGAGGCAGAGAGGGATGAAATCTTTTCTCCTGAGGACACAGGCTAATAACTCTGGCCTCCTAATGACCATCCTTCTCTCCCCTCTCTTATTGCAGCCTTTGGCAACTGGAAATTAAAGACAACTCGTGCCCTGTGGCAGAAATCATCTAGGTGGATCACCTGTTTTTTGGTAAATGAAGTTTTTGCCTCTGCACTTTGTGATCCAAATGGGCCAAAGCTAACCCTGTCCCACTGTTCACTATTGACTTCTTTGAACTTGGAAGGGTACTATGAGCTTTAGCTTTTTTTTTTCTCAGTCTTGATGGTGTCCAGGAAAGAAAGGGAGCTGCTTCTGTGCCCTGTGGGGTTTGCTGGGTGCAAGTCTCCTGCGCTGGGCTGGCTCTGTGGCTGGAGCTCAGACCCTCTTCATGGAGCTATTATGCACTGGCCTCTTCTGAGCGTACATGCAGATGTAGTGGCTTTTTTTTTCAATATCTTTTTTTTCAGCTGGGATGGCACCACTGGGATCACTATAAGGACAGACAGGGAAATGTGGGTAAAAGCCCTTTTGCCCAGGATCCTTCACTGAGGGATACATTGGGTTTAACCCTAGTGGAGCCAGCAAATTCAAATGGCTTCATGTTGGCTACATTTTTCAGCAGACTCCCATAAAAAACCACTTTTTTATTTTGCCAGCGCTTGGATATTTGCTTCTTTTTGTGAAGAAATAGAAATATAGAGAGGAAAAAGCCCTTCCTCAGCAGGCTGTTGACACAGCCGCAGTTTTCATTATCTGCACTTTTCTTCGTGGCAGCAATAATGTCACCTCCCCGGTCTCCTCGGGGCTCTCCTGACACATCAGCCAAATGCCCAGAGCGAGATTGCCAGGGAATGGCTTTTGACAGGAGGGCAGCCCGTGCCCTGCAGCGCCGGCCGAGGCCAGCGCAGGCCCAGGCTCACGCATCACCGGGCCGGGCCTTGGCTGCGCTCCTCAAAACAATCCTTCCTCGGCTCTTCTTGTGCGACTTCCCCCCTTTCATTCCTGATGGATTCCTTTCTCCCTGGGGCTGCAGCCCCGCGTTTGCTGTTCTGAAGCACCTCTGTAGCGATCGGCTCAAAGGCAGCGGAACTGAAGGTGATTTTCTGTGTGTCTTGGCTGAGGAGGTTTGGGTTAACGCTTCCTTGCCAGGCACAGGCCATCCGAAGCTGGGCTCTGATTAGTCATCCTCCTGCAATTTAAGCTCTACTAATAATGCATCTTCATTTTATTATTATTTTATTTCTACAGTAAATCCTTTCATTGCAGGATGCTTTCCTCTAACTAAGGGTGTGTTGTCTTTCATGGAGGTGACAATGCCACCGGGATAAATACCCCTGAGGGGCAGGAACCGCAGTGCCAGGAGGTCTAACTGGAAGCTTTGCTGCCCTTTGATGTTAAAAAGCCTGGCTTGTATGATAAGGTGAACAATCCTCATTGAAATAAGCACATCCATTCTCTCTGTCCTCCCCCACTGGTGCTTCTAGGGTGAGGGGTTGCAGTGGGAAGAGCCCATCCCTTGAGTACTGGGGTGCTGGGATGCTCTCAGGGATGCAGGGGGAGGAGGTTAGCTCCATATCCTTTATTGCTACACTTTAACCCCGGGCAAAACCAGGTTCCAGGGGCACTTTGGTCTCAACAGGCCTGTGCCCACCGGGGAGAGCCCAGGGCTCTGCAGCAGCTTGGTCGCTGCCTGTTGGAAATGGCCCGGCTCTGCCTGACAGTGAGTGATACATTCTCCAGTGGCATCAATCCAGGCGCAGCTTCTCCCGTGTCAGGTTTGCGATGAAAGATACTCTCCTCTGCCACCTCCTTCTCCTCCTCCCCAGGACTCACTCTTTGAAAACTGTGGCTGGCTTTCAAAAGCCGGCTGTTAAAACGCTGGCTGCTAAAAGAGATAACAGCGTGCCTGTCCATGAAAGCCAACCATCCTGGGTGAGCTCATGGGAAAATCTGATCTAACCTGCCTGTCTGAGCAGTATTTATAAGCACTGCTACCCAAGGATTAGGCAGCCCAGCTGCACTGATGTAGTCAGTAAAAGCAGCTGTTTATATTTCCAACTTTCTGATGCAGCAGGGTTTTATAAAAAAGTCACAAGGCCACACTTTTTTTTATCCTTTTTTTTTTTTTTGGGCAAAGCCTCGAGAGAAACAAGCAGTACTTCAAAACATTGCTGCCTCCACTGCTGCCTCCATTTATTTAAACATTTCAGAATCTTACTGTCACGTCCCCACCCCCTGCCCCAAACCTCAGCAAATAACAACCTTTATTTTTGACACTGAAAAGGAAGCCAGGATGCATTCAACAGAATCTTCAGGATGCAAATTCCTACAGTTGCACCTACGGTGGGCATGTGGAGCTGATTTTCACCAGCTGATGAGCTTTAACTGCCAGTGCACTGCTGACTGTAGGACTGGGGTTTTCAGTCAGGTCTGGCCAAAACACAGCTGGTTTATCCCTCTCCATTTGAACAGCCGCGCCCCTGGGCTATGGGTTTCAGCTGACTTGTTTAGACAGAGGGGCTGGAGAATGATGGGAAGCAGCTAGGAAATAAGGGTTTTCCTGCTGAGCCCAAGAGGTGGAATTTCTGGGGTCTTCCTGATGGTTCAAGTGGTCCTCCTCCTGCCTCGGGCTCCTTCAGGTAGGTGTCCTGAGCTCCTTCTCTATGGGGGTTTGGTATGTGGCTTTTATCACGAGGCAGAGAGGCTTCCAGAGCTGCTCGTGGATCTGTGCTGCATGCCCTTTGTGCCCAGGATCCTTCCCGTTCCCTTCTGAACATCAGAGGGGATCCCATGCCCAGCTGCTCTTGAAGGAGCTTTCCTCCTCTCTGAGGAGGTTTGTGATATCCTGGGAATGTTTGTTTTTTTTTGTTTTTTTTTTAATTCAGCTGTTGTTTGTTGTTAAAGCATACTAATCCTCTGATTCCACCCCAGAAGGATTGGAAACCCTGTGTTTTATGTTTCTCGACAGTCAGCATTTTCACTAGATGAGACTGAACGATAAAGGGTGTTTGCTTAGGCCTGAGGGTATGTGATACTAAAATAAAGTTAATAAAATAAAAGAATTATTAATATTTTACTTAGCTTTAAGTATTTATTTTTTCTGGCTATTCCCTCTACTAGCTAGCTTTTTGGAGTAGTTCATTATCTGCTGCTGCTGGGGCTAGGATATTGTTACCTCTTCCTCTGATTTTAAAGGTGACTATTCTGGTTGCTGTATTCCTTCATAGATAAACTTTCTCTTCCTCCTGTCTGCTTGCCTCTTGATGCCTGAGACTTACCCCTGGGACCTGGCTCTGTAGGGACTTGTATCGCTTCTGTGTTCCCCCACCCCCGCTTCAGGTTACTGAATTTACATTTCTATTGTACAAGTAATTACCTCATTCCTGGCTCCGGGCTGTATGCCTTTGCTTCGGAAAACACTTGTGCCGTGACTCTAACATTTCTCATGCTATATCATTTATAACAGCGCAAAAGCCTTTGAGGATTTATAATTGATAGCTCGCCACAAGATTTGCATACAGCCTAAATGTATAAACATGACCAAACGGTGATCTGAGGACGTGCTTCCCAACATGGTGAATGCCTGGCTCCCAGTTTTTAGGTTTTGGAACTCCCAGCCCGACCAGCTGCAGATGCTGGAATTCCCATAGCCCATGAAGGGCAAATCCCATACCTTTTGCTCTCCCTCTTTTGGCAGTATGTTGCTGCTTCTGCAGCCATTTTCTACATCAGTGTTTGTGGCAGATGCAAGCCCAAGGAATCGAGGCACCTCCCGTGGCTGGCTGGTGGCCTTGAGGAGAGGTTTCTGCAGCCCTGGTGTGTTCAGGGCTCAGTGCGTCCCTGCCCAGACAGTGGCCTTTTGCCACCATCAAGGAGAGGGCATGGGCTCTTCTGGGCAGGAAGGAGCTTGCTGTGCTTGCCAAGCCTATTGCTCCATGAGCTTTATGCACAGATGGATGTGAGGATGCACATCTGGCGTGTACTTCCCTCTCTTCCACACCCCCAAAGGTGCTTGCAGCACTTGCCTAATAGTCCTATGGATGTGACCCTATGGATGGATAAAGAAAATCTGATGTAGAGCCTAGCCCTTCCCCATAAGGCCAGCCTTTTCAGAGTTCATGCTGTGATCTTTAAAAAGGTAGCTTGGTAAGGCACTTTTAACTGAAAGACAAGGCCAAAGAGGAAATGTTTTGCTGACAAGTGATTACATCTAAAAAAGTAGCTCTTCTTTGCCTAGTTTCTATATTTAATTTTTTATCAGAGCAAAAACTACTTTTGCAGGAAAGTTTCTGTGCAGAAATGTTGCTGGTTCAGTATAGGAGTCAGAGTCTCAACAGAAAGTAACTGTTAGCTAAGCCATATTTGGAAAAAACAAATCTCCAGTTAATTTTCTTTTTCCTGGAAAAATACCCTTTGTCACTTGAGGGTGTCTGGCAAATTTCAGGCTCATAGTTCCATAGAGCAAAGCTGTGTTGGGGCTAAATTCAGGTTTTAAATTGGAAAGAAACTTGTGACCTTCTGTCCTTCTTCTACTGCATCTTTAGAATGGATGTAAATCCATGAACTTCATTGGCAAGATGAGTCTGAAAGACTCATTTGTTATATCCCCATACATACATATGTTTGCTCTTCTCAAGTAGGGATGATGTTCTAAATGTGCAGCCAAGGCTTGATTCATAGATAGTAAAGCAGCTCTGAAATTCTTGATGTAGCCCTCCTAAAAGTAATTCACAGGATTAAAAATCTCTGTCAGGAAGCCAACTAAATGGTAAAGTTAATAATCTCTGCTAGGGCCCTAGGCATAGGTTGTCACCTAACAAACAGTTGGGATTTGTGGACCTTTAAGAGCAAACATCTGCAGTACAGCTCACGGATCAGTAACACTGTGGTGCAGTTTAGAGACACTAGAAGCGGGGTGGGGTGGGGAGAAAAGTCAATCCAAATATCTTCTCCTTACTTGAAAAAAAGAACACAGAGAGCGAACTCTTTTATCAGCCTTGAGGTTTTAAGCTGACTGTGCAAAAACAGCAGAGCAGTAAGTTTTTTATAACAATATGAGATAATACTTTCCTTTGTGAGAGTAATCCTCCTAATGTTTCTAATTTATAATTAAGGTAATTTCCATTAGAAATTATACCACCCTCCTGCCCCACAGTGAAAAGGCTGAAAGTGAACTGTTGTCTCCTCATGACTGAACAGATATGTGCGTACCTCCAGCACAGAGATAGGTCGATCAGCAATGGGCAACCCCTTTCTCTGTCACTACAAATTAAAAGGATTCAGGAGCTGTGAGAAGCCACGGACTCTTTGTGAGATGAGGTCACTGTGTAGGATGGGCTGCAAAAATGGGCCCGAGGGCAGTGGTGGCCCTGGTGCTCTCCTGTAGGGACTAAGCCTGGGCAGGTAGTGACAGCCCAAGCACAGCTTTGCTGCTCACTCGCTGAAGGGGTCCCTGCTACACAACACCCTGGGCTGGAGAGGGCAGCCAGAGATGGGCTGAGAGTCCTGACAAGGGACATCTCCAGGGATATCCCAGTGGCATCCAGCTGGAGGGATGCTGAGGGAGGGGGAACTGCAGCACAAGGCCAACTTCTGGCTGCTGCCACACCCTGCATTGGCACTGGGGAGAACCCTGGTTTGGAAGGGTGCAGAGATAGTATACAAACCCTCCTTCCCTTAAATCAAAAATATCCAGACCAACTGGCCTAAAATCACGTCTCTGTTCAGAGGAAAAATGAAAATTGGAAAATGCATTCAAAGCTTTCCATGTTTCTTCATTCCTGGTATTAAGAAAAGAAATGGAACTCACAGTTTTTTTGTTAGTGTGATCTCGGGGGACTATTTCCCAGAAAAACTGCAAGGAAGGATCAGAAATGTTTTGCTTTTAGTTTTTTCTCTGTTTGCTCATCTTAGCATGAAGTGTGCAGTTGAGGATGATATGTAGTTTGTTCTGTTCTGGCCCTTTTGTCTTTTGGTCCTGGCTTTTTGTTGGCTTTGGTGTTTGGTTGGTTGTTTTGTGTTTGGTATTGGGGTTTTAGGGTTTTTTTGGTGGTGTTGGTGTGGTGGTTTTTTTTTTGTTGTTGTTGTTTTTTGGTTTTGTTTTTTTTTTTTCCCCTGGGAAAACAGTTTTAATAAAAGGGCAGAATTATTACAGTACTTGAAGTCTACAAATTATCACTGTCGTGTGATACCTCATCTTGATAGAAAAATGAAAGCACAAAGGCTTTTGGAGCCTTGACTTGACTCCTCTGCACTATTTTCTCTCTTTTCCTCTCCCTCTCTTCCCTTCTAGAACCACTGATGCATCTCTAATAGGAAAAATGCAAAGTGTGCAAGTTGTCTTGGCACTGTGGCTCAACATCTTGTCATGTTGCACTATTATGTTGACTCCTCTGTACAGGGAGAGTGCATGAAAAATCCCAGAAGCACTGTTCTGGTTCAGGCAACCACAATTCCGTTTTTTGTTGGCTCTGGGAAGAGAGATTCTACAGAGACGGACATCTCGGAGCTAATCAGCTGGTTTGACTTAAAGGGAGCTGTGTGGAGGAAAGCCAGTGGCATATTGCAGACCTAACTGTGCTCAGACTAAGTTTTTTTTCTTTTGTTTGCTTCTTTGGAAGCAGAAAGGAAAAAGAAGAATGTGCAGAATTTTGCTTCCAGAAACTGGGTGTACTGAGTTGTTCATAATTATCTTATAAAATAGGAGGGGATGAAATAGGGAAACTTGACCCAATTATTTTCAAGGCTTCTGAGGGACAAATTTAATTATTTTGGTATTTTGTGGTTTTGCCCACTGAAGTATGAAGTCCTTTAGCTACATGTGTCTGTCCAAGTGTTTTTAGTTTAGGTTATTTATAGAGCTCCATTATTGTGGTAGATGTGCCTTTCACAATCCATAGTTCAACACATTGCTCTGAACTAATATTGGTGAACCCATTCTTTACACAAAGGGAACCAAGACAAAGCACATGCATTTGTTAAACTTGGAGCAGGGTTATTCCTCATTTGAAGAAGGGTGTTTGTTTCAGTATATGTTTTATTATGATGTTTAATCTATTTGTCCAAGTCTTGAAGATCCTCAGCACAATGATTCAGAACCCCCTGTCCCAGATGAGACAGTCAATGCTCTGCTGCTTACAGCTCCCACCTGCCTCATACCCATGTACATCCTGTAACAAAGCCCTAGCACAGTCTAAGGAAGAGGACCAAGCTTTCCAGAAGCAAAGAGTCCTTGGCCAAAGCAGATAAAAAGGCTCAGCCAGGAAGCAAAGCTGTTGGTACCTCATTTTCTCTTGGTTACAGAACAGTTCAAAAGAGACCTCAGGGTAATATGACTGGAGCAGCAACTTCCTAACTTCTCACTGGCTGAGGTTTTTGTAGTAGAGCTTTATGAAGACAAGGGTGCTCTCTCTGTTTGACTTAACAAGGGCAGCAGCAAATCACCAGCCTGTTAATTTTCTGGTTTGTTCACATGATGTGTGCCTGCTGAAAATGCTACCTTAGGTCAAAATAAAACTCAGTAGGAAAGCCATGTGACTGTGAAGGGAGAGAAAGGGCATGCTGAGCAATGCAGTGGCATATTAAAAAACACCTGTTAGGCTTGATTGCAGAAGTTAAATGCAATATCTTCTTCAGCAGG